ACAGCAAGAAGCAAAAAAACACTCAGCTATAAAAATATCAGTTTTGATTAGATTGTCAACATTGCTCAACAGATGTGACACTGGTCTTTAGCTAGAGAGTTCTTTGGAACCTAAAGAGATCTTGGGGATTGCCCAGTCTGTGGGCTGCAATGTTGATGGCTGCTACCCTCATGACATCATAGATGACATAAACAGTGGTGGATGCCCAGCTAGTTAAGAACTACAAAGGAAAATATTTCAATTAAAGATTATTTGACAACCTTCCCCCACCCCCAAAATATTGGGTTGTCGGAAAAGCCATGACGTATTTTTTCTATGTTTTTCATTGCAAAAATGCGTCATGACTTTTCCTACAACCCAATAATAAGATTCCACATGGACTCTTAAGATGCTCACAATTCAATAACTAAAACAAAATATTAGTAAGGCTAATATGTAATCAATTGGTGAGTGGTATAAGGAAGATTGAATTGAATAAGGAACCTAAGTTTATTTTTTTATTAATTGGATACTTGATTTTTTTTCATAACTCGTCAGTGAGTTTCAGATTCTGTGACAAAGTCACTCAGCAGGGTGTGTCCCTTAATTCCTAAAGTCAAATGACCTCCTGGTTTGATGTATGATGCGTACTGATTTAACAGCAGCGCCCTAGAATTTGTAGGCTGAGAAATCATCCTCTTTCTCTTTCTTCCTTGCAAGGAAAATGCTGTGCAGTCCCCAGATTCAGCAGGGGGTGGAGGCACAATCACCCTCCGGTAATGGGAACTGAATAAATTCAAGTACTGTGTTATCTAAATGGTATGACAAGTTCCCATTCACCTGGCTAATTGCATCAGTCAGCTCTCTTTTTTTTTCTATGGGTTGGGACTTGGCAGGCTTGAGCATTAGCTTGAGCGTTAGTGGTCCCCTGCTGCTGGAATGTGCCCTGGACAAGAACCCCCGGCCCATCGCTGCAGCCTACAGAGGACCCAGGGGCCTTGTTTGCTGACTCCAAGAGTGCGTGAGGGCATTACTTCTAATAATAGGAGATTTCACATTGGTTTCTAGATACTTTTACTCCAGGCAAAGCTGTGCCAGGCTCGTGTTGGCTTTGGGGAGGTAGCCTGAGCGGGACTGGAGAGCTTGAGGAGACTGATGGAGCTGGGACACTAGGATAGGCGAGGTGATTCCTTTTGCTACCACTCTCATTTGTAATTTACCTCCAACAGTCTATCTTGTTATGGTCCCCCTCTGAATCTAGCGTAGTTTCCTTCAAGCCATAGCCTCTGGAGTCAGACCTAATGTCTACCTGTGCTATATGCCAAACATCATCTATGGAGAGGATGAACATTAAACTCGTGTTTGTGGCTCTCAGCACTAAGAAAGGACAGTCAGCTCTCGTGTTTGAACTTTTCCAGTGAAGGACAAAGTAGTTACTTGTGACTCATATCTCAAAGCAACTAGGAATCCTTTTGTCCCCAGTCATCCCTTGCTTTGGACTCGCTTCTGTCATGTGCAGGGCACTTTGGCCCTCAACTCTTCCTTTTCTTTTTAGGAAGAGAGGGAACTGAGGTTGGTTCCAGCATCTGAGCCAGCCCTGGGTATTGAGGCATAAGAAATGAGGACACAATTTCTGGGAATAGCATCCCAAAGATACTGTTTTCAGGATGACTTTTAGTTAGCACAGAGCATTTGGGAAAGAGAGATAAGTTCCTGTCATATGGAGGTCAGGGGTCTTGGGGCAATGGTTCCGTTTTGGAGTGGGAGTCTTCAGGGTATTTATGAGGTGTTCTGACTCGTCACTTCCTTTGGATTAGAGATTACCCTGGTTGGGGATAAGGAAATGAATGACAGCAAGGACTGTGAGAGGGGCAGGAGCAGAGTATCCCTGAAACCTTTTTAGACTCCTTCCTGGGAATCGGGTATTCAGAGGAGAAAGAAAAAAGGGAGGATATTAGTGATTTTGAGCTGCCGTGACAAGTACCACAGACTAGGTAGTGGAAACAATAGAAATTTCTCTTCTCACAGCCCTGGAGGCTGGAAGTCTGAGATCAAGATGTCAGCAGGGTTGGTCTCTTCTGAGGTGTCTCTCCTTGGCTTGCAGATGACAGTTTTCTTTCTGTGTCTTCTGTACATGTTTGTGTCTAACTTTTCTCTTACAGGGTCAACAGTCATAAGGAACTCATTTTAATTCAGTCACTTACTTCTTTAAAGCAGGTTAGGGAAAGACATGTTTTCCAGTTGGTTTCGTCAGGGTATTTTATCTGCAGGGATAGAAAGCAGTGCTCCATAGCCCTGCAGTTTCTCTGACTTCTTGACATCAGCTGTTTTGATAGAAGCTTGTTATCACTGGGCTGGGGGTCAAGAGTGACACAGTATAAGCCTTAGGCACCATGATATGAAGAGTTCCAGTGTACACGGGGCTACCGAGTGGGGATATTCTAATCTCACTTCAGCTTTAAATATGAAGAACATTAATTAAGATTGTGGGGAAGATTTACCTAACCCTTAGGGAAGAAAAACTATTTAATGGACTTTTGTTTTCTTGCTCCTGCTACTGATTCTGAAACTTGGATGTGTACAATTAATTGGTTCCTTGTGAAGTAGCTCTTCTGCCTCTTACATACCGTTCTTAGAATAAAGTTACTATTTTAAGAAAAACCAAACTTTTCTCATTGTAAGTATTTGATAATTACTTATTGAATAAATTATATAAAAATTGATTCCAGGATAAACAAAATGTGGTATATACTTGCAATGGAATGTTATTCAGGCATAAAGAGGAGTGGAATTCTGATACATGGTACCACATGGATGAACCTTGAAAACATTATGTTAAGTGAAAGGCAGATGCAAAAAGACATGATCACATTTATCTGAGGTACCTTAAAGAGGCAACGTCATAGAGAAGACAAAAAGTAGAATAGTGGTTACCAGGGGCTAGGGGGAGGAGATAATGGAACTTATTGTGTAATGGGTACAGAGATGGTTTGAGATGGTGAAAAAGTCCTGGAAATAGGTAGTGGTGGTAGCTGTACAACATTGTGAATGTACTTAATGCCACTTAACTGTACACTTAAAATGCTAAATGGTAAATTTTGTTATGTATATTTTACCATAATAAAAAAAGTTTTTAAAAAATGATTCCAATGCAGAAGGATATATAAGACTTCTACAAATGCAAAAATATAAAATTAAACCTTATATTTCTTAGACATATATTATATTATAAACCTTCTGAGGGCAGTTTTTCTGTCGATTTGCCTCCAATCACCAATAGAGAAAACCTTTACTCTAGACTGTTGCCTGAGACCACCACCTCAGAAAGTTGTAGCCCTAGTCCCACCTGGCTTTTTGTTAGGAGTAATAATAATATTTCTGGGAAATATTCTGAAGAATATGGAGTCCATTAATTCTTCCAGAAATTCTAATTTGTATCCCTGGATCAAGCTAGATGATCTGACTGCTGTGTGCTTGGGTGCCATTTTGGCCTTGCTAAATCATGTCAGTGAGTTGTGCTTTGGCCTCCTATCTCACACTGAGGGAAGCAGTGAGAAGCATAATAGGAGACTCCCTACTGTGTACACTATAGAGGCATTATTAATTATTACTTTGCCTCCTGACCCTCAATGTGGATGATAAAGATACTTTAAGAATTCACCCAAGGAAGGGAAGGTTATCAATTGGGAGAAATGTGTCAAAGACAAGAAAAAGCTAACACTCTTGACAAGTATGTACATTGTATGTTATCTTGGAGTCAATGTGATTGTCATCTGCCTGTTTTCTTTTTTGCTTTGGCCATAAGGATGCTCAGAATCCAATTTATGAACCGCATCAAGTAATAGTTTACTTTACAATATATGCTTTTGTGGACTAGCTTTTCCTCATGCTCTTGTAGCGTCTTTTATATGTTGTCTTCTTTATGTAGTATACATATTTTATAAGTCAACTCATCCTTTTTTTGACATTAGATGGTGTATTGGTCAGGATATATGTGTGGAGAGAGAGAGAGAAAGAGAGAGAGAGAGAGAGAGAGAGAGAGAGAGAGAGAGAGAGAGATTTATTTTAAGGAATTTATTCACATGAGTATGGAGGCTGGCAGGTTTGAAATCTGTAGGTCAGGCCAGCAGTCTGGAGACGCAGGAGGGACTTCAGTACTTTCTCTTATTCAACTGTTTGGATGAGGCCCAACCACATTATGGAGGACAATTTGCTTTACTCAAAGTCTACTAATTTAAATGTTAATCACATCTAAAAAAAATCTTTACAGCAATATCTAGATATGTTTGACCAAACAATTGGGTACCATAGCCCAGCCAAGTTGATCAAACACATAAAATTAACCACCACAGATATAAATATATAATAGAAATATATTTATATATATAAATATATATATATATATATATAATAGGGATATAAATATATAATAGAATTTTTTAAAAATTGGGCATCATTGTTATTTGTTTTCTATATCTGCTTATTTGAGTGCATGTAGGAAAAATTTCCAGTTCCCTCCCACCTCCTCATCTAGGTTCAAGTCTCATGTTGTCATTATTTCATCAGCTGGTAGGGCAGTCTTCCAAAGCAGGGCTGGTTAAATGGCATAGAGTCTGCATTGTGTATGGATGTGTTGAATGTGTGAATGTGCTGACCTGCCAACATACCCTGATACATGTCAGTGTTATACAAAGTTCTGCCAGCTCCTTCCTTGGTAAACAGCCATTTTTGTGGAGGAACGTGATGAGGTGTATGATTTCACCAATTATTACCATTCCCAATTAGACAGGACCCAGGTGTGTGTTAATAAAATGTTAACTCACTCTTTCTGTAACAGGGATTTGATTCCCAGGATTTCATGCATTTGATATCGTTCAGTTGTTTATATTGCTGCTGTTCTATTCTGAGAGGTCTTCAAAGATTGGTCGGAGACTTTTATGAGAAAACATTCCAATTGTTCAGGAACGTAACTCATCATCAACAGTAGCTCTTACCTTATTATTTTTTTTAATTTTTGGTAGGCTGGTGGTTACTTTGTTTGGGCACAGACCTCTTTACTGTTGGAGAGAGGAGCCTGACCGTGCTGTTTCTCTTAAGGTAAGAATTGAAGCGATTACGAGGGACAACCCTCGGCTTTCGTTGGGAAGCTCTCCGGGTTAGGTCGTCAGGGATCCACGTGCACTCTTGAACGTCTTGGGACTCTATCTTTAGTCCATCTCCTAGGTGGTGTGCCAGGTTTTCTATCCCATTCCAACCTTTTGCTGCTCACTGCAGTTCTGGCATTTGGAAGTCTGACTTTGGCTTTAGTTACATTTCCAGTGCTCCCAAGGAGGAAATCCCCCTACCCAGGGAATGGTCAGTGGATCATAGACTTCTTTGCTTCCCACATAATGCACTAATTTGGCAAATTAAAAGAAAACCTTCCGGAGTAATCATCCCAGTTAGGGGGGTAGGAATAGGTGGGGAGTAGGAAGCGACGCTCAAAAGTGTCTATGTCAAGCGAAATACATTGCTAAATCTACTTAGTGTGTGCACTGATTAGTTAGCCTTTTTAATTATGGGACATTTAAATGTTAAGGATTACAAAATATTTCCTGATCCAAAGTAGTATGAGAGTGTTAACTCTAACAGAAAAGAGACGACAGCATCGATATGGGTGGACGTAGTTGTGTTTTACTGATGACTGTTTTTTACTTCATTTTGCTCTTTTGGTTCAGGTGTGGAGCTTAATACTCAGGCAGATCAGGTTCAGTTATTAGCTCTGTCTCCCATTTCCCAGTGAAAAAACTGAATCTGAGGTCTGGTTTTGTGAGGTCAGGCTGCCAATGCCGAAGAATGTTTTTTTGAGGGTTTGGGGGCCTGTGCCTGGTCTGCTGAGTAATCTCCTTGGCGTGGGCTCTCAGCTACCAGCCCAGGGGCCTGTGCTTTGCAAATGGACCTCCCACCTTGAATCTGGTGGTGGAGCCAGGCAGCCATCAAGGGAAGTTATCTGAGATTGTGAGAGGATGTGTCCAGGGGCGTGTTTACCTTACTGTTTCTAGTCTAAAGAGCCGATTGAATTATTAGCATCCATGTTTGTTAATGTCAATTATGTTTCAAATACAAAGTAGAATTCCATAGACTATCTACTAAGATGCTTTTACCCGTTGCCTTTTTTTAAAGGATGATATTGTACTATCCTAATAAGGTCCAAGGAAACAAGTAGGAATCTGTATACTATTGTGACTGATTCCCCCAGGTGATATTGGGTAGTGTGTGAGCTGTTACTTCAACTTAAGACTCTGCTATTAATAAACCTGAAGAATATGGAGTTTAGAAAAGTGATGGTCCAGGAATAAGACATATGGAGTGCATTAGGTGATCTTCCAAAGCAAGGAAACTTAATGCCTTTTTAGTTATAGTGTTAAACGTAGTGTTAGGAACATCATCACCATCAATGATAATAATAATGATGATAACAATGGTAATACAAAATAACAACTCTAATATTAACCATCTCTGTCACCGCCATCACGACAGCTAACATTTATTGGTTCCTATTTTCTGCCAGGCACTACACTAAGCATTTTATTTGCATTATTCTTTCTTAATCTGCACAGCATCCCTATGAGGAAGGGCCTATTAATATCCACCATTTACATTTGAGGAAACTGGAGTTGGAAGAGATTAGGTAAGCTGCCTAAAGTTAGACAGCTAGGCTGAAAGGTGGCAGAATGGTGATGTAACTGACTGAACAGCACAGAATGGAGTCCGACCATGCTGAAGCCTCAATCATATGCAATATTTATATCTGGCATTGCTCTTTCACACTTGTCCCTGCTTACCTGTCCTTTGCCCTCTAACCACCTACCATTGACATTTTAAAAATGATTTTAATTAAAATATATCTAAGATACAATATTATATTAGTTTAAGGTGTACACTATAGTTATTCAACATTTATATACTTAAAGAAGTGATCACCATGATAAGTTCAGCAACCATCTGACGGCATACCGTGCTATCACAATATTACATATTGAAGATATTCCCTGTGCTGTACATTATAGCACAATGATTTATTTGTTTTATACCTGGAAATTTGAACCTTTTATTCCCCTTCTCCTTTTTCCCCCATTTACAAATTTTTCTATTACTCTTGACATTCAATATTATTCTATATTAATTTCAGGTGTATAGTGTAATGGTTAGACATTTATATAATTTAAGATGAGATCCCCCTGACTAGTCTAGTACTCACCTGGCACCATACATAGTTATTACCATATTATTGACTATATTCCCTGTGCTTTACTTTATATCCCATGACTGTTTTGTAACTACCAGTTTGTACTTCTTAATCCCCTCATCTTAACCAACAAGCCACTCGGCTGGCCCATTTTAATCCCCTTATTTTATCACCCTGTCCCCCAACCTCCCTCCCATCTATCACCCCAACAAATCTAGCACCCATCTGACACCATACATAGTTATTAGAATTTTATTGACTGTATTCTTTTTCTGTATGCTACATCCCATTACTACTGTGTAAAAACCAATTTGTACTTCTTTTTTTTTGTTTGTAAGATTTTATTGGGAAATTGGGGGAGGGGAACAGTACTGGGGAATTGGGGAAGGGGAACAGACAAGTTGCTGTCCTTTTGTTCCTCAGTCTAGTTGTGGAGGACGTTGCTTTACTGGCCTATGTTGGCATTATCTTTGCGCTCTTCCTGGGTGAGGCAGTCACTTGCCAGCCATTGGACGGCTGCTCATGGCAGGTCATGGCACTTCATGACAGTTCATGCCAGCTGCCGGCCAGCCCCACTGCAGCCTATGCTGTCGCTGGTGACTCACGGAGCCCAGCTCCAGGTTGAGCTGTTGTTCACCATCTTAACTGTAGAGGGTGCAGCATCACTGGCCCTCATGTGGGATCTGAACCGGGGCCCTGCTGCTCAGAGGTGGCGTCCCACCCAACTCTTAACCAATGCGCAACTCAGCCGGCCCCCCAGTTTGTACTTTTTAATCCCTTCCCCATTTTCACCCACCCCCTCAACCCCCTGTCACCTGTCAACCATCAAAATGTTCTCTGTATCTATGAGTCTGTTTCTGCTTTGTGTATTTATTTTGTTCTTTAGATTCTACGTATAAGCAAAATCACATTGCCTCTGTCTATCTCTGTCTTTCTCTGTCTGACATACTCCAATCAGCACAATACCCTCCAGGTCCATCCATGCCACCACAGGTGACAAGAACCCATTCTCTTCCGTGGCTGAGCAGTATTCCATTGTATATATGTGCCACCTACTCTTTATCCACTCATCCACTGATGGGCACCCAGGCTGCTGCCACATCTCAGCCATTGTAAACAATGCTGCAATGACCATATGGATGCACATGTCCCCTCGAAAGAATGTTTTGAGTTTTTTTGGATAAATGCCCAGAAGTGAGGTTGCTGTGTCCATCTTTGTCTCTTGTTATAGACTCTGTTTTAAAATCTATTTTATATGGTGTAAGTATTGTTACTCCAGCTTTTTTTTCCCCTTCATGTCCGTTTTCATGAAATATCTTTATTCATCCCTTTACTTTCAGTCTATGTGTGTCTTTCAATCTGAACTGAGTCTGTGGTAGATAGCATATGTAAGGGTCTTATTTTCTTATCCATTCAGCCACCCCATCTTTTGATTGGAGTATTTAATCCATTTACATTTAAACTAATTTTTGAAAGACATGTATGTTATTATTCATATATTTTATTTATTTATTTATTTATATATTTTTAAAAAAAATTTTTTTTTTCATTTTAAAGAAGTCCCTCTAAGATTCATTGTAATACTTGTTTGGTAGTGATAAACTCCTTTAGTTTTTTTCTTGTCTAGGAAACTGCTTATCTGTCCTTCAATTCTAAATGATAGCTTTGCTGGGTAGAGTAATCTTGGTTGTAGATCATTGCTCTCAATCACTTTGAATATTTTATGCCAAGCTCTTCTGGCCTGCAAAGTTTCTGTTGAGAAATCATCTGATAGTCTTATGGGAGCTCCCTTGTAGATACTTAGCTGCTTTTCTCTTGCTGCTTTTAGCATTCTTTCTTTCACCTTTCACATTTTAGTTGTGATGTGTCTTGGTGTGGGCCCCTTTGGGTTCATCGTGTTTGGGACTCTCCATGCTTTCCAAGCTTGTATGTCTATTTCCTTCATCAGGTTAGGGAAGTTTTCCATCATTATTTCGTCAAATAGTTTTCAATTCCTTGTACTCTCTCTTCTTTTGGCACCCCTATGATGTGAATATTGGTATGCTTGATGTTGTCCCAGAGGCCTCTTAAACTGTCCTCATTCTTTTGGATTCTTTTTTCTTTTTGCTATTCTGACTGGGTGTTTTCTGCTACCTTATCTTCTAAATCACTGATTCTATCCTCTGCTTCATGTAATCTACTGTTGATTTCCTCTACTGCAGCGGTTCTCAACCTGTGGGTCGCGACCCCTTTGGGGGTCAAATGAGCCTTTCACAGGGGTTGCTGGGTACTCATATGTGGGCGTATCTGCATGTGGGCTTGGAGATGGATAGAGGAGCGGTGTCTTGGTTCCTAAGACCATCGAAAATATGTTTTCTGATGGTCTTAGGTGACCCCTGTGAAAGGTTGAGAACTGCTGCTCTAATGCATTCTTCATTTCAGTTATTATATTCTTCATTTCTCACTGGTTCTTGTTTAGGTTTTCTATCTCCATTTTAATGTTTTCTATCTCTTTGTTGAAGTTCTCAGTGAGATCATTAAGCATCCTTATAACTAGTGTTTTAAACTCTGCATCTGGTAGATTGCTTATCTCCATTTGGTTTAGTTGTTTTTCTGGAGCTTTGTTTTGTTCTTTCATTTGGGACATGTGGTTTTTTTATTTTTTTTTTGTCTCCTCTTTTTGGCTGCCTCTCTGTGTTTGTTTCTTTGTATTAGATAGGGCTGCTATTCTCCCAGCCTTAGTAGATGGCCTTATGTAGTAGATGCCCTGTGGGGTTCAGTGGTGTAGTCTCCCTCATGTCCTGAGCCAGGTGCTCCAGGTATGTCCCTTGTGTGGGTTGTGTGTGTGCCCTCCTGTTGTACTTGAGTCTTGGTTGCTGATTGAATGCCA